ACTCCTGATCATAATGATGTGGCAGAACTGTTACCTGTTTTGCAGATGAGGAAACTGAGGTTCCAGGGAGGTTCAGTGCCTTGCCCCGAGATCATCTGACTCTTGAGTGCTGCAGCTGGGCTTGGAATCTTTTTAGACTCCAGAGCCCAAGTTCTTTCTACTAACTCTGGGTCACCTAGCTTCCAGTTTGTCCTTAGTTCAAATCAGCTTCCACATCTCTGTCTGATCAGCTTTCTTAAACAAATGTCATCATATCACTCCCCTCTAAAAAACTTTTTTCTTCTTTTTTAAAAATTTTTAAATTTTTGTTAAAGGACCCAATGACTGGAATCTAAAAAACTTTGTATACCTCTTCCATGCTTTCAGAATAAACTCCTAAGCTCGTAAACAAGACCCTCCCAGCCTGAGCACATCTTCCCTGCCATCTCTCTGGCAGCCTGGCACCCCCGTCCCAGGCATCGGCCATGCTGTGTGCTTGCTGTCCCCAGATGCGCCATGCTATGTCCACACTTGCATGCTTTCGCCTGGGTTGTCCTCTCGCCTAACGTGTCTTCCCACAACCTGAATCTGTCTCGCCGCAAAAGCTCATTGGCCCAGCTCAGGGGTCATGGGAAACCTGTCCTAGAGCATGTCCTATTTCCGTAAATTAGCATTTAAAAAATTGCTAATGTAGCACTTTCCCATTGTTTATATTTCTGGTTAGCGTCTGCAGCTCGGCTAATTTTTTCTGATGTCTGAACCCCCTGCTAGACTGAGCTTCTCGAGGCAGAAACCTCTCCTTTTTCATCCTCAGGGCCTGGTACATAGTAAATGCTCAGTGAGCAAATTCACATCATGGCCTATGACAGTACCTAGCAGTTAACTTCTAGAGTGGAGTTCCTTTATATGAAGAACCCCATGTGAGGTGCTGAGAAGAAATACAGAGGAAAATAGATGAGCACACAATTGAACACAGACACATATATTCTCTCTCATGAGAAAATTATAAATGCCTGAAGTACACCTAGAAAGCAGCTAATCAGTGTGAAAATTACTGAAATAAACACTTCAGCCTTGAGGTATAGGGACAGATGGTCCATCCAGAAGGCTTCCCTGGCAAGTTGGGCTTGAGTTGGGTGTGGAAGAGCAGATCACATGATGGGAGTTCTTGACAGGAATGAGCCCTCTGTGGGGCCAAGGGGGCTGGAGGTCAGTCGTGTCCACGGGATCGGGCCAAGGAGTAGCACGGTGAGCAAAGGGGAAGCGTGGAGGGCCAGCAGGGGAGCAAGGTCATGCCCCACTGAGGTGTGTCTGCTTTTTGGATTGTAGAAGAATATCAGATCCCTCGAAAATACATCCAAGGCCTAGAAAAGGCCCCCAAACCTGGCAAGAAGAAGTGACAGACTCTTTGTTTCATGCGCTGGATCCAGTGGAAATCCAAGCTCTGGGGTGGTAATTTTTATGAGCATTTTCAGCTTTTGCAAATACAAATTATAATTGTTTACCCAAATAAATTTTTATTCTAATCTAAATATGATTTCCCTCTTGTTTCCTCCACTTAGCTAAAATGTTATACTAACTTTTAAAGTCAGAAGCGTTTTAAATAGACAGAAGAGGCTGTGTGCCTTTTCCGGTTACTTGGTTTCAGTGGTTTAGTTCCTCCCCTGCTTTCAAGGCAGGACGGACCATTCAAAAGTTCAGGCAGGTGTCCTTCCTGTTTTTAAAGCCCCCCTACCAAATATTCCACAGCCTCTTGCTCATCTGTTCCTACTACCTAATTAACGCCCCAGCCCAAAAATAGTCCCTTCACATCTCTAAAGAGTTAGTCATATAGAAAACAGAGCCCAGCTGTTCTCTATCATCAGTCAAGGCAACAGAAGAAAGAGTTGATCCCAAATTGCAGCAGACTTTAGGCTAGATAGAAATAAGAAACAATAAAAGCACATTAGGACACGGGTTTCTGTAGGACAGTGATTCTTCCCAACGTCAGCACACTGCCACTAGCTGGTGATGCAGCTCCAATATGGCAGCTTTGCTACAGTGAAGAGTCCTAGCCAACAAATGCCCTCTTCAGCCCCAACTTCTTAACCTGGGATCATGGAAGTGGTCTTTAGTTTGTCTTCAGAGGGTCCAACTCCCTGAAATGGTGCACAAGATTTTGTATGATCATTTTTCTGAGCGAGGGGTGGTGCTTTTGTCAAATTCCCAAAGGGATCACTTAATGCCAAAGAGATTCAGAACCGTTTCTCTGGTCCCTGCTCTGTGCATGGAGGTCATTTCTGTGAGCAGACCTATCCTTGTACAACAGGAAGGAGGAAGAGCTGGGCTAAATTCCTTGAGAGTTCTCGGGTTTTACCATTAAGAAACAATTATACTTCAGTTGACTTCCCTGTTTCTTTCTCATCTTACTTGTTTTAAAATTTGAGATAAGGCTTGAAAATATCCGTAATATCCACAGATTACCCATTTGAGGCTTGAAAAGGAAGAGAGGATGGGTGTGAAGATGCTTGTGCGGCGCCTCCTACCTTTTGTTATCAGGCCCAGAATAGGCCTTTTCCCTTGTAAGTAAGCTCCTTAATTTCACTACCTGTCTCTACTGGTATGAACATATGGAACTGGGGAAGGGCTTTCTAGAAATTGACCCCAAAGAGGATCTTATTACAACAAAGCCTTTAGCCAGCCAGTCTGATCTGAGGGGAGTATGAAATGTATAGTAGTAATGAACTATGGTCCTTACATGGATGCGAATAACATGTAGTACTGTGCGAAGTTCTTTCCCAAACACGATGCTTTGCACAATCTTGGAGGGACTGGAGGCTCCGAGATGTTGTGTCTTGCCTTGCTAATCTCTGCTAAAGACACAAAGCCAGTAAGTGGTAGGGCTGGTTCTAAATTGAACATCTACTCTCAACTGTGGTTTGACCCAGAATTCTGCTGTGACACAGTGCTGTCAAGACATGTGCTGTGAGTGGTTTTTCCAGTAATGGTGACACATTTGCATGAGTCATCTTCCCTCTCCCCTGTATGAACAGCATAGGGACATGTACGAAGGTGGAATAGAGTTGGACTGTGTAATAGGTTCTTTTTTTCTACGTGCTGAGCCAAATAATCTATATCAAGGTCAAACGTACAACTTTGAATTTATTAACCCCATGCTGCAACCAAATGAGTTCCAGTGAAAAGCAGAAACTGGATCATTTTTAGGCTTTGGCAAAATCATTGAAAGATACATTTCTTGGAGGTATAGGTGAACAACGGTTACAGATGTGCCCCATTCTTGGGTAATTTTAAGAATGGCTGCTGGACATTCAGTCTTTCTTTTGGGCCCTATTCATTGCATCCTGTGTGATCAATACTGGAAGGCAGGTAAGAATTTATTTTTAATAACTTTTATGTGATTATTTCTGTGATTACTGAGATGTTCCTTTGATGGAAGTGAGAGAGTGCTAACATGAAAAGACCATATTGGTCATCTAGTCTTCGTTCTCCAGTTGAAATGATCTTAAACTTTCAAAGACACATTCCTATCTATCTTTTGTTTGTTTGTTTGTTTAAAGAGGGTCTCACTCTGTTGCCCACGCTGGAGTGTGATGGCACCATCACAGCTCACTGCAACCTCTAAACTCCTGGGCTCAAGTGATCCTTCTGCCTCAGCCTCCTGAGTAGCTAAAACTATAGGTGTGCACCATCACACGTGGCTAATTTTTTAATTTTCATAGAGATGGGGGTCTCACGATGTTGCCCAGACTAGTCTCAAACTCCTGGCCTCAAGTAAGCCTCCCAAAGTGATGGGATTATAGGCATGAGCCACTGTGCCTGGCCCTATTTTATTCTTAAATGGTTCCAGAAATAGAAGAATCATTGCTCACCTCAGTAGCCTGTCCTGGTGTTCAATCACCCTTAGCTGCAGAAAGCTTTTTTTCTAACTATCTCCTTCTGTAGTAAGTCCCTTTGGCTCTCCAGCTCCGTGGAGATAACAGAATAGCTGGTCTCCTAGGCAGTGCCTTCCAGTGCATACATTTGGACAATTTTCTCCAAATTATTGAACAGTAGCCTTCATTCCTCTGCATACTGGCAAAAGAAAATCTGACTCCGCCAAGAAATATAGATTGTCTCTGTTTCCCGCATCTCTCCCCAACTCCCAGTTTCCCTAAGATGGTGAAGTTCAAGGAAGACGTTTCCAATATGAATCATTTTTGCAACAAGCTTTTATTACTTTTTTTAAAACCCATATAAGAAAGACATTTAAAAAGAAAATATCCTCAAAACAAACACTTACACACTGAGCAACACAACCATAGAAGGCACTACCAGCAGTTATACCCACCTCTGGGAGGGAAGGATACTCTATACATACTTTTTTCAGAGGCTTAGACCTCAGCATAGGTCCTGGGTCTAACTGTGCTTTAGATAAAGTCTGAATTTTCCCACATTTATTCCATTTCATAAACACCCTTATCTCTTTATATATACCATATGCCTTTATGTGTGTGTGTGTATATATATATATATATATGTATATATATATATATATATATATATATATATATACAGGATTTTTTTTTTCCTTCTCAAAAATAAAATAGCCATCCCCTTAGAGGGAGGTTCTCAGCAGCATTCACAGCAGTTGCAGCAGGAGCCATGCCTTCTATTAATGTCAGAGACATGCAGGACGAAGGGAAATGACTCTACCTGCTCCCTTTAATACACAGCAGGGAGAGAGATTCTTTTAAGGGAGGGAAGTGATAAGGCTGAGCATGAGATGGCAGATAACCAGGGTTTTTGTGGTTTAAAAAAATCTTAGAGTTGCGAGCTTATGTTACTTTTGCAGCTCTGAAGACTACACACAGTTCCTATGACAAGGGGGCAACAATCCCTCCGGGAACAAGGCAAGGGGGAACCAACCCGGGCCAAGGAAGGAAACTCCGAAGCCAACAGAAAAAACCGGGGCCTGAACCAAACCAAAAAAAAACGGCAAAAGAAAAAAAAAAACGGTTCCCAAAAGCCGGAATGGAAAACCAGCCCTGCTTTGAATGAAGATTACAAGTCCTCCCTCTGCATTGGAGTGTCTTCGCAGTCCTGGCTACTTGCTGGCATTGTTTGACTAATTTATTTTAGGATTCAACCCCCCTAAACAAGAAGCCAGTACAAATGTAGAGTCAGGAATCTGAGCCTCCCTGTCAATGTGGTCTCATGTCACTTCTTGGAAGTCAAAACTCAGGCACCCAGATGGGAAGGAGGTCTGTGACCCTCAGCCCATACCCAGAGGGAGGGCTCTCCAGGCCTCGCCTCCCACACCACCGTCGTCCACTTCCTGGTGCAAGTGAGCCGCAGCAGGGCTCCAGGCACACACGCCCTGCTCCTGTCTCTCTCTGAAAACAAAAAGGCACTGAGGTCAGCGGGGAGGCCAGGCCCGCGGGCTCACTGAGCGCAGTGCTGGGCTGGCCCGTGCTTCGGAACAGAAAGGACTCCGAGTTGGCTGAGCTGGAGGTTCCCCCTCTGTGATCAAGGCAACTCCTTAGGCAGCACCTGGAGATCCCAGATCCCCATGGGAGGAGGGAGGCAGTGCTGGAGGCCGAGGGGGAAACTGAGGCAGCCCAGGCCCTCCTCTGTTCGCTGGCTGGGGGAAGAGTGAAGACAGCTTTGAGGAGGTTCTCTGCATCGCTTTTTGGCTTTCTCTTACTGCCTGACTTCCCTACTCAGCAGGAGACTTTTAAAATGATAAACAGCTGGTTTCCCTTTGGTGGAAACACATGAGGATTACGGCAATATTAAATTCAAATTTGTAACTTATAAAGAAATAGCTGTTGACAAAGGTGTGACTAAGTACCACACATACGCAGATATACATGCCTTTGGGTTTACATGTGCACAGTCTCTTGGGCAGTGAGGGCCAGGGCCAGGGCCAGGGCAGGCTGCAGCTTCTCTGGAACCCTCTGATCCAGTCTTAGCTTTGGTCCTCCTAACCCTGAGCTCTGGGGCCAGGGGCTTTGTGAACTTCCCTTTTGCATGAACAGCGGGCACCCTGGGGCAGTGGGGACAGTCCTTTTATGAGCATTACCCTACTTTCAGGGTCTTAGCTAGGACCTGCTAAGGGAATGTGCTACAATTTTTCACTCATAAATAAAGGTACTGTAGGTGGCAAACAAGGGACACTGAAGAAGAATCAAAGCCAGAGAAAGAACACGTAGCTCTAAAACCTTCCTTCCTTCCTTTGCTGGCTGGCGTGGTAGGTTCCAGTCCGGTGACGAGAGAGGCAACTGTTTGGTTTGCAGAAGGCTTGCAGAGTGAGGGAGGACAGCGCTGTTTGTTTCACACGAGTTCTGATCCCCGGCAGAGCCTGTCGAGGAGCACAGCGTCGGGGTGAGCAGGAGCCAAGCCCGCACAAACACTCGTCCACGGAAGAGACTTTGTGCCACGGCTGGAACTGCTGGGCGGGCACAAATGCACCCGCCAGAGGCGTCCTGAGAAAAAGTGTCTGTTGCAAAATAATAATTAACAATAAAAATAAATCCGAGAGCATCGGGAGCAGAGGAAGCAGGACCGGTTACCCGGGTTTGCCCTGGGATTCTCTTAAGGCCTCCTCCAGTTTCTGCCTAAACTTGTCGTACTTCTTTTGCACTTGCTGGATTTTGTCCTGCTCCTCTTTTTCCAAGATCGTGAGGAAGTTCTGGAGTTCAGGGATGGAGAAGGCATCCCACTGTGAGGCGACAGGGAGACGGGGAGAAACAGACAGGAGACGGGTTAGAAGTGGAGACGGCCCCCGGGGCCCTGCTGCCTCCTCCTTCCCACGCTTTACACGTGAGATCCACACACAGTTTGCTACCGGATAGGCAGGTGCAGTGAAGGAAGCTTGGGTTTTACACGTCTGTCATTCCAGCAGCAAAATTCCAAATCCTGGCATCTTGGGACCAAGAGTTGCTGGTCCATGAACCATGTTTTTATTTGGAGAATCAATAATCTTAAGTTTCTATGTAGTGGCTGAGTTCTTGACAGTGATGCTGGGACTACCCCCAGCTCCCAACATGCACACCCTCGGGAGGCATGGGAAGGCCAGCGGCTGTGGACTCAGGATGTGAGCCGGGTGTGAGCCTGACTCCACCTCTCGCCAGCCAAGTGACCTCGGGCACATCACTCCACCCTTCCCAGCCCGCTTTCTTATCTGCCGTGGAATGGGGGTTTCTACCTCCCATGGCTGGGAGAGATCACGAGAGCCTGGCTCAGGCCTGCCTGGAGGGACCGGGCCTCTCAGGGGAGAAGGCAAGTCTGACTTCTCAGGCTAACCCAGGAACAGAGGCCCCATGGGGCTAAGCATTGAGACTCCTAAGCTCTTTAAGCACAAAGAGCATTAGGGTTTGTGTAATTTAGTCCCCACACCGGATAAACAAGAAGCCTGAGGTCCACAGAGGGAAGGTGGCATAACCATGATCACGTAGCTCATGGAGCAGAACTGGAACTCGAGCCCAGGCCTGTGAGCTTTCCACAGGGCCAGCAGTGGAATTCCACACTTTCAGTGGAATACTTTTTCCAAACATAATCTTCCACAGACGCCAATGTATAAGGCAGGTGGAAGGCAGAGCTGCTCTGGTTGAAATGGGAAGAAGGGGCTGAGCCCCACCTGCCAAGATCCCCCAGAACTCCACAATGACCCCCAAGACTGCACCTCAAAACCCCAGGCCTCCACTGAACACAGTGTGACAAACCCTGAGACCCTCCCCTGCTCTCGGTCACTCATCCCAGGACACGGGGAGCACCAGCCTGGTCTCACCCCAGTTTACAGAACAAGACTGGACACGAGTTAGCCCCCCTAGGGGGAAGGAGGTCAGTATTTAAGAACAAGAGACAGACAAATGGCTCAAAAATGTCTACACCCAGTGAAGCCAAGAGGTGGAGCTTGCTGGGCCTCAGGCCTTCCTGGAGCAAAAACAGCCTGGGCCTGAACACAGGGAGTTTTTCAGCTCCCCACCACCCTGAGTTTTCAGGAATAAAGCACACGAAATCCTTCCATGGGCCTTGCCAGACACAGGCCCTGACTCGCTCCCCCAGGGAGCTTACGATCCCGGCTGACGCGCCGAACCCGCGTGCAGTGCTCACCCCCACTCAGCTTTCTCTACAGCCATTTTCCTGCTGCTGCTGCTGCTGCTGCTGCGTGGCCCCCACCCATGCTGGGTGGTTAGGACGACACCCACCTGCACCCACCGAGGGTGCCCCGAGGGCTGGGTCTGTGCAGAGGGTCCAGACCTACCTCCACCTCTCCGGTTTCATTCTCCTTTAGCACAAAGCTGAGGACATCAGTGTCAGGCCCAGCGAGCAGGCGCAGGTAGAGGGGGCAGTCGGCGATGGAGAGCTTCTGGAAGAGCACTGCAAAGCAAGAAGGGGGGTCTGGGGGCTCATCTCGGAAAAGAAGGACGGGGCGATGGGCAGTGCAGAGTTGGGGGACTCATATCTGGAAGTGGACATGCATAAGGTCCTTTCGACCTCATGACATGAACCTGACAAGAATAAAGGGGCGACAACCTTCTATCGTGGGTATCTGCTCAGAGTTTGAAGCATGTTTCCCTTCGCATCATCTAGAAGGTTAGGAGTGGTGGGCGGATTCCTCCCATCACACAGATTGGGAAGTGGGAGCCCCAGGTGCGGTTTTCCTGAGGTCACACACACAGTGGGGACACGAAGAGAGGCATCAGCTGCCCTGTCAAGCTCGCTGCTCTCGTCTCCCTGCCCAGAGTCCTCCGCGTGTGGCTCTTCCACAGATCTGAATACCACGTGGACGGCTGGACCCCGGGACACAGGAGAAGCCCGCTCCTCCCACCCGCGGCTGGCAGGGGTTTCGGAGGGCAGCGTGGACAGAGCTGGGAAAGGCGGCTCTGGCTGCGATCTCTCATACCTTGTCCGTCCTTGTGTGTCCGCTTAAAAAGTGCAAACTTCTGGGGATTGTCCACGACCATGAACTTCTTGAGCAGCCCCTGGATGACTTCGCTGACCGTGGTGGTGCTGCTGATGTGGAGCTGCTTGATGGCATCGAGTGGCAGGTAGAAGGACGTCCGCTTGTCGGTGGTGGCCGCCAGGTTCACTTCCTTGATGGCATCATAGATGGACTGGGGCCGGATCCCCGCAGGCACTGTCACCGGCCGCCGGAGTTTCAAGTGCACTTTGATGAAACCCGTGTAGGTGCCATCTTCACTCTGCCAGCGGGGGGGACGTCACATGGGGTCAGGGAGGTCTGTCTTGCATTGTCATATCTGCCGCGCTGGGCTGTTGCCCCAGTTAGCACCCACCTGTCTCCTGAGTTCCTGCTTCTGCTGACCTGGGGCTGCTGGAGAGCAGAGGTACGTTTCCCCGCCGTGGGCAGGGAAGGCCCACAGTGTCCAGCCGCCAGAGAGGACCTGGGGAGCTACAGTGGCTTTCCCTCTCAAGAGGCTCAGGCTGGCTGCCCCCAAACCTCCTGCCAGCAGGCAGACGCCGACGGCCTTTGGTGAGTCCCCCTCTAAGAGGCAAGGTGCGGGTGGCCTCTCCAGTTTGCACCTCTGAACCAGGCAGGAGCAGGAAGGCTCTATAATAAAGCCCTGGGAGAACCAGCCCACTGGATTTCCTCCTGCATCTTTTTACAAAAGACCCACAGCCTTTAAGATTTAAACCAGACCCATTTGTGACTGGGTTTGCTGGTGTCCCGTCGGCTGAAGCCCCAAAGAGCCAGTTGCTGCCAGCCACCAGCAGGGGGCAGGGTTCTCCTACCTTCTCCCCTCCCCACTGAGGCTGGCCTCTCCCAGCCGGTGCTAAGTTGGGTGCCCTCTCCTCTGATCACTGCACAGTCTGAGGGGCAGGAAGGAGAGCTGCTGCCAACTCCCCTTGTCAAGGGCTCCCTGGGGGCCAAGCAACACCACGCCCCGGGTCATTGTATATCATTTGATCTCTTAGTTTACAATGAAGCTCAGAGAAGTTAAGAAAGTTTCCCAAAGTCACATGTGAACAAGTGGAAGGGCCAGAGGTTGGATCAGGATCTTATTTCAAAGCCCATTCTATTTCCTAAAGCACCGGGAGGCCAGCGCCCCGGCTGTCAGCCCTCTGTGACCTCGGAGGCCTCTGGAAACCAGGAGAAAGGGGAGGGACGTGCAGGGCAGTAGCCACCGCACCCAGAGGGAGAGCCCAGGCGCCCAGCAGAGGGGTGCCGGGGCGGCGCTCACCAGCTTCATGCCCAGGCAGTTCTTCTCGCGCGTGTTGTAGCTGTCGATCTTCTGCTTGATCTCCTGCAGCGTGGGCGGGCGCCGCGTCTCCTCCACAGCTCTACAGACGTTCTGGAACAGACACAGGAGGGCGTGGGTGTGCAGTGGTTCTCAGGATGAGCAGGGGACGTCCACGCCCTCCCAAAGGCCTGCCTGACCAAGAAGAATGGAGCACCAGCCCCACACCCTGAAACTAATCGCACGGACTGGAGTGAGACAGCAAGAGGTCAGATCCCAGCTGCGCCACTGCCGAGCTGGCCACCCCTGGGGAAGTAACTCCCATCTCAGCCTCAGCCTCCTCACCAGTGAAATGGGAACAGCACCTACCCCACAGGCTTGTCTCGAGACCAGTGCGAACGTGTCTGGCACACAGGCCCTGACCGAGGATCTGGCGAAGGAGCAGAGCGGCATTTGCATATGGACGGTTGCTATGGGGAAGGTGCCTTTAGACGCCATGGCAGATGCAAGCCATGCTCTGTGTCCTCGAGGCAGTAACAACAAAGCTGGAGGGACAGGCGTGTGCACGTGTGCCGGCGTGTGCTGATGGGAAAGACAGGAATTTCCCCAGACCCAAAGGACCAAGGACACACAAACACAGTTCAGGCCCCATGTCACTGGTCACAGTGCTTTGCACGTAACAAGAAGTAAATGTCTATTTGTCAAATGAATGCGTGAACTGGCAGCGATGAGGAGCTGGAGCCCTCCGAGATAAGCAAGGAGATAAACCTCTTCTGCAGGGGCAGAGGGACAACAGCATTGACTTAGCACCAACTCTGTGCCAAGTACTTGGCATACATTATCTCATTTAATTCTCACAAACCAAAACTCTGCAAGATAGCTTATTACGCCCATTTTACAGGTGAGACTACCAAGACGAAGAAGAGTTTGGCAAGTTGCCTGGTGCCCTGCAGTCAGTCTGCACAGAACTGAACAGAAATTGCAGGTCTGTCCTGTTGTGTTCTTCCTCAACACCAGGATTCATTCTTCTCATAGGTTCCCCTGATGCCCTCTTCCTCCGACCCCCGGGGAAGGGGAAGGGGAGAAGAGGGAGTACAGGGGTGAATTCTGGGGTCTAAGCAACTCTGCCCCTCGGCCGATTCCCTTCCCGGCTTTATTGTCACGCTGTGCCTCTGTGGCTGAGCGTGCTGGAAGAGGTTGGCCAAACCCGCTGGGAATTTGCCTGATCTTGGAAATCTAGTGGGCTCAGGGAAGACCAGGATTCTCCCTTGGCAGATAAGGAAACTGAGGCCCAGAGAGGGATGACTCTGACACCACGTGACACCGTCCTGTGGGTGTCTGGGTTTGGCTGGGAATTTCACAGCTACCCCAACATCACACACCACCCAGTGGAACACGGGGGCGCCCACAACAGAGCCTGCGTCTGACCTTCCTCCCTTGCCTGTCTCCGGGAGACACGCCCCACTGAAGAATATGCCACCACTTCCTCCTCCCACTTTCCAATCCCACGGAACCGATGCGATGTCAGGCTCCGGCTGCCGAGAGGAGCTGACGTGGCTGGGCCTGAGTGCGGCTCCAGCCTCCCACCCACCCCACCCCTCAGCACAGAGGGGAGCCAACATCCTCTCTCATCATGGCCTGTCTGCAGCCTCTGGACCCTTGCTCGGGGGCTCCTGATCTGCTAATAGCAGCATTGTGCTGGGTGCTTTTTTGCATACCTTCTCTTACATACTACCTATATTTTACAGATTACAAAACTGAGGCTAAGCGAGGTTAAGAAACACGCCAGGCTGGGCATGGTGGCTCATGCCCATGAGCCCAGCACTTTGGGAGGCCAAGGAGGGAGGATCGCTTGAGGCCAGGAGTTTGAGACCAGCCTGAGCAACATAGCGAGATCTCGTCTCTACAAAAAAATAAGAAAAATGAGCCGGATGTGGTGGTACACACCTGTAGCCCAAGCTTCTGAGAAGGCTGAAGTGGGAGGATCACTTGAGCCCAGGAGTTCGAGGCTGCAGTGAGCTAAGATGATGCCACTGCCCTCATGCCTGGGTGACAGAGCAAGACCCTATCTCTAACAAAGACAGAAAGGAAAGAAAGAAAGAGAGAAGAGAAGAGAGAAGAAAAAAGAAAGAAACAAACGTGCCTGTGGTCTCACTGCTAGTGAGTGGCTGAATAGAGACTGGAACTAAGTCCACCTAAGGCTGGAGCCCCTGTTCTTCTCAATTCACCTAGGGTGGCCTCTTCTGCTGAAGGGGCCGGCCCACCCCCCGCACAGTGACCACTGAAACTCCATGCTGCAGGGCTGAGCAGCTGCTAAACCAAGGCCTATAAATCACCCAGCCTGTGAAATGTTCATCCAAGACGTATCTGACCAGTGGGTCAGGACCCAGAGGCTGCGTGTCACCCGTGAAGATGGCAAGGAGGGAGGGACTTCTAACCTCTGGAGTGCGATGCAGCCTCCGGGATGCAGGGCCTACCCTCTTCCTACGGGCCTGCTCAGCCTCTCGGACTAGGCTTGACTCTGTGGAGGACCACCCAAGGGGAGGCGCTCTCTGGACATCTCCCATTTGCCTGAGGTGAGTAGCAAGTGGTATGAGCCTCACAGACTGTCCTTATTCACTGCCAGTCATTAACCCAGGGACCCTCAAAATGGAGTCTCTCATTCCCCTTCCCTTCCCTCAGCCGGCTCCTGGAGCTCCCGCCCCCGGTGCCCACCAGCTGGGCACATCTCTATGGGCCCAGATGCGCCCGGCGCTGGCCCTACCCTGCCTTCCCTCTGAGAGCTTCCGGTCAGAAAGACCAGCTGTCTGGGGACTGTCTCTGAAGCAAGTAGGCTGTCACTCCTCAGGAGTTAATAGCTTTCTCATACTCATCTACAAAAAAAGAGCTAAATGATACAAAGAAAACTCTAGAAGCTCTTGGGAGAGCTCCTCTCATAGTTTCCAACCGAACTACAGCCATTTCCCTGTAGGAAAAGGCAGCTGTGCTGTGGCTTCCAAAGGCCTGGTTCCGAACACAGCGAGAGTCAGAGCTGCTCTAGCCTAAAGTTTCTTCTTCTTCCGGTTCCCCTTTTCTCAGCAGATAAGCCCGTCTGTTCTCTCTCTTTCCCACCACAAACCTGGGGAAGTGACGCAAGTGGCCGCGGGTGCCCCTGCCCTCCAGGGCTGACGCAGAAGACAGTGGCTCTGACCTCACCATGCTGAGGCCCTCCGGGTGTGGCGGGGAGCCCATCTGGGAGGGCCAGGAGCCCTGCGCGTGGCCAACAGGACAAACCTCACAGTCCTGGAATGTCAGCACCCAGGTCTGGGATGGCTGCTGCCCACAGCAGATCCTGCAGGCGAGATCTGACCCACGGACTGCATGAATCACCTCCCAAAGCAGGCAGCCAGCCAGCCACAGCCACGAGGGCTCCCTGATCCTCTTCCTAACCAGGAGATGGTGTAGAATCTAGACCAGTGGTTCTTTTTTTTTTTTTTTTTTGGTGAGACAGCCTCACTCTGTTGCCCTGAGTAGAATGCTGTGGCGTCAGCCTAGCTCACAGCAACCTCAAAACTCCTGGGCTCAAGCGATCCTCCTGCCTCAGCCTCCTGGGTAGCTGGGACTACAGGCGCACACCACGACGCCTGGCTGATTTTTCTATTTTTAGTAGAGACGGGATCTCACTCTTGCTCAGGCTGGTCTCAAACTCCTGACCTCAAGCGATCCTCCCGCCTCGGCCTCCCAGAGTGCTGGGATTACAGGCCTGAGCCACCACGCCCAGCTCTAGACCAGTGTTTCTTAAACTTGCCTGCACAGTGGGATCATCTGGGGAACCTTTAGAAGCACGGCCACTGGGGCTTTAGATTCTGATTTAGTCGGTCTGGGGTGCAGCCTGGGCATGGGAATTTTTCAAATCTCTTAGTTGATTCTAACGTGCAGCAACGTTTGGGAAGAACTAACACAGAGAGACCGCTCACAGTTCCAGACCTCCAGGGTCCCCATCCAGCTGCAGAGTTAACACTTTGGCGCCAACAAATATATGCTTCCCCAAAGGTTGACCTAAAAGGCAGTATCTGTGGTATGAGCAAGATCAATAATACAGTAATCCTCCGAGAGTGAGACAAAGACCTCAATTTCCATTCATCTGACAGACTCTCAAGTCTTCAAAGTGAAAGATTTGTCTCTGTCCGTGGGCACACAGCTAGGAATCCAGCAGACAGAGTTTGGTCTCTCGGAGTGACCCAAGACAGAGACGGAATGGGGAACTCTTACGATTTGACAAATGTAGGCATTGGCCTGTGAGGTGTCTCTCCTCGGGGGTTTACACGTCTCTGTGCATGTGGCAGGCTCTGATTAAGCCCCTGGCCTTCGCAGCAGATGGCTGAGCTGCTCTCAATGCACCCGGCATGTCCAGGGCGCTGGGGAAAAATAGGTTTGTGCTCGCACGTGCTAAGCTGTGGAAAATGGCTGTGTCCTCTTTTAGCTCTCGAGCTTATTGGGGTACAGCCAAGAGCAGAGGCTGGGTGCTGGGGTCAGAGCAGGGAAGCCCCTCCCCGAGCGATTCCCTAATGTTTCCACTGAAATATTCTTAGCAAAGTCAGGAGGGCCACGCCCCTGTAGTCTGGGCCCTATCTCAGAGCTGATTTACCCTAAGTCGAGGTTTCCTTTATTCTATTTTTAAAACAACAAAAACGAAGCTGGCTAATTCTGCATTCTAATCAATGACATATACAAAGTCTTAATTATGGTCACTGGGGAGTGACCCAATGCTCGAGGACAGGCTCCGAATGAGTCTTGTGGCTTCTAGTGTCCCCAGGTGGGCACAGGGCCCCCAGGAAGGCTGCAGCAACAAGAGGGGCATCCCAGGGTGAGGAGCGGCTGAGGACAACGCACGTCCCACCCGCAGTACCGCAGCCGCCATATGTATTCGTGCCCACTTTTTCTTGACCTCCATCACACAAACCTTATTTTTGCTAAAAACTTCACTCTCCTTTTAAACTTGTCAGCCTTTTCTCCTTCCTGCCAGGTACTTTCACCATAATATCACTCCTGTCTGCCCTTCTGAAGTCCCCCCATCTGTTAAGGCCTCTCTAATGACCTCAGCCCTGAATGACAATGACAGTGATGATGATGAT